GGAAAACGTTTGTAGACGAGCAGATTGTAGAACTATGGATGCGTGGTGAGTCTGGTGACAGACTCGTGCAAGTTCAAGTAACCTCTACTTACATATTGGATATATTTCAGAAAATCTATATTAATTATGAAAACGATGACTGGTTTATTTTTCTTATATATATATATATATTCCTTAATCTATCATATTGGCAAAGTAATACTCCAAATCTCCCACATTGATATTTTATTTTCCTCAATTTTCAATATCACTACAATATCATTCATTAAGTTAATTAATTTTAGAATCACATAAAGAAAATACAGCATTAATTAAATGTGTATAGATTAGAGTCATTTTGCTAAGTGAGCTATTAAGAGATTGAGTAATTGTGAGACAACTAGGCATGTCCATCTGGCCCGAGCCGAGCAAAACCGAAGCCCGATTGCCCCGGGCCGGACCGGTTTTTTTTACTTTTTAAAAAAAATTTATTTTTTAAAAATCTTTTAAAATTTTAAAATATACATAAAAAATTACAGAAAATGCTAATAAAAAACAATAAGGATATGAAACTGATCCATATACTCTCCACCATTGCAAAATATCTAAAGTATTTCCTTGACATTTAACTGAAGAAGCAGATAAATATTCATCTATTTCAGAAACCTCTAATGAAGATCCAAGTCCATATCCACAAGTTAACTCAGCTATCATGGCATACCTATCAAAACTTACAATTTTACCTTGGCCTGAGCTCGAAGACGCCGAAGCTGTAGACTGTTGTACAGCTACACCATGTCTAGCTGCATACTCATCATATAAGGTTTGAAAATAATTTCTAATAGCTAAATGATAAGAAGTAACAGTAAGAGTGGATCCATCATCTAAGTTTATAATCTCTCCACCATACAATGATTGTAATTGTAACAAACTTCGAAGGCCAAGATCTTTCAAACATGGATCAATAAGAACCCTCAAACTAAAAAATATAAGGAATAGACCTAAAATACTTATTAAATTTGCTCTTCATTTAAAAAATTATAGCTCCAAAAGTATTATTCATACGATATTTGTTAAAAAAATTTAAATATTTAAAATTTTTAAAGCAGCTAAAGTAACAGTTGGATAATAACAGCCAGATAATAATATTGTAGCATCATAAAAAACTTGTAACATCTTATTTAAATTATATATAATTGTCCATTCATTTTCAGTTATTCCATAAGTGCTACTAGAGCTAGAACTAGAAGCATAATAATTTATAAAATTATTTATAATTTTTTTATAATCTATTGCCACACTTAACATTGTATAGGTGGAATTTCACCTATGGTCAAATCTTTTGGAATTAGTCCGGCCTTATAACTTTTTCTTTTGTAAAATTATTTCCATCTTTTAATTCTTTGTTCAGAAACATTATGCATATTAGCAACTATTCTAACATTTTCTATCATGGGTTTAATTTCAGTAAATACACTTTAAACAATTAAATTTAAAATATGATAAATACATCTAATATGAAAAAGATCACCATGATATGATAATGACAGAATTGTTTTGATAAAATCAACAGCTATATTGTTATTACTTGCATTATCTAGTAAAAAAGAAAATATTCTTTGATCAATTTCTAGTTTCATATACAAGTTCTTCAATTATTAAATTTGTAATATTAATACTAGTATGTGACTCTTCAATTACAATAAAAGGAAACAACTCTTTTAAACATTTACCAATTTTCATCAATCCAGTGTGCTGTGATACATAAATAACCAGTTTGTGCTCTAGATGTCCAAATATCAGAAGTTAAAGAAAATTTACAGTTTAAATTTTTAAAATAAGAAATTATTTTTCCTTATTCCTCCTGATAATGTTTTAAAATATCACGTTGACAGGTTTGACGAGAAAATTTTGTAAATGCGGGATACAAATTGTGACGCCCCGGGTTCACACAAGGCTGCAGTCCAAGGTGAAACCAAGAATGTCAAACCTGTCATGCACCACACCGTGCAACAACATGTTTCACCATCACAATTAACATCTATCTAGTAGAGTCAACAACAGGTGTAGGTACAAAAGCAAATAAAAGTTAATACAAGAAGACTGATGAAATGATAATAATTAACTTAATGTCTCATCATCCAACAAACAGAAATACATAGTCAAGATCTGAGTAGATAAACTAGAATACTCAACAAGTCTCAAATACAAATATCTGACAAGAAGGAAATAAGGCACACAGCCTTTACAACTTCTAGAACAAGACTCTCAAATGTCTAAACACAAGTCTACTGTGGAACTCCAAAAGAAAATATATAACTAGCTAGACAGCTGAAGCTAAAATTCATCGCCATCAACCTGCGACTCTCCGGGCTCCTGGCTCGTTACCTGAAAGGGGGAGGGACAATGAGCGTCAAAGCGCTAGCGAGTAACATCACAACCAACCCCAAAGGAACAGGGCTCGTTGTATAAGAAAATACAGATAATACATAATAGATCTAAAATCATTGATCTTACTAAAGAGGGTTTTAGTATTTAGAAATTTACAACACGAGAATAGGTACGTCGAGCGAAATAATCCAAACAAGGAAACCCTCATGTATATACCTTATATCTCAAATTGTAAACCCCTAACCACTAAACCCGAGGTTCTAGTACAGGAAACAATAATAAAAGGAATACAACTAATCTCAGAACATAAGTGCAGTGCCGTATCATAGCCTACATGAATATCATGTTATAGCTTACATGAGTGTCATATCAAAATCCACATAAGTGTCATGTCATGGTCTTCTATGAGGAAGTT